GTTTGGCTGTGCCCCCTCCCAGCTTCTTGTGCACCTCCAGCCTTCTCAGTCGGTAGAGCATGGGAAGCTGAAAAGTCCTTGACTAGTGTAAGCACTGCTTAGCAACAACTAAAACATCGGTGTGTTATCAACATTGTTCTCATCCTAAATCCAAAACACAGCACTGTACCAGCTACTAGGAAGGAAATTAACTCTATCCCTGCCAAAACCAGGACAACGTGGTAGTTGTCCCAGTTAGCCTGCTATTAAATCTGTCACCACAAACTAGTGGTTTGTTTTTTCTCTGTTAACCGTGCCCCTTATCTTCTTCCCCTTCCTTTCTTCTCCCTCCCCTGTACCCCTCCAAAATCCTGGAAATACATAATTTTTTTTTTTTTTGTACTGTTAGGAAAAAACTGGTAACATTGTTTTTCTGCATTAATTTGGTTGATAACTAAATCATAGAATAAAATTCTGGTTGGAAAACTAAGGAGCTAATGCTGCATTATAGGATAAACTTTTACATTGAATAGCTGTTTATATTTGATACTGCTTGCATCTTACAGCCTGGCTAAAAGTGACAATGATTTCTAATAACTAACAGCAGTGTAAAAATAATAAAGCAGTGCCTATAAGAAAACAAAAATGAACTTTGAGAATGTAAATATCAAATATATACATGTTAAAGTGTATGTAATTTATCAAAACAGAGCTAACTCTTGCCAAAAGTTGCATCTAATGAAGCTAATAACTATGATATCAGATGATAAATTTAGAAAAACAAATAACTTGTGTGCTTTAACAAATTACAATCTAGTACAATTTTTCATATCTTGTCAAAATATTTGAAAATATTCCTAATAAAGGCAATGATTTTGATTTAAAATATTTATATTCATGTGTTTCTCCTTATACACCAATATTTTAATAGCTGCTGAAAGTTATGATTAATTATTTTACCTTCAGTATGTAATACCAGGTCAGGTTAATTTTGCAGTGATCTGCCAGATCTCAGTGACCACTAATTTTAAAGGAAATAGTACGCCTCCTAGAACGTAACTTGCCATATCAGGTCCTTTAAAAGGTACCTGATCTCAGAATTATTAGAGGTTGCTAATAATAAGCACTTGGCCTTTAGCAGGGGTTCCTGGAAAAAGGTAGCTTAATCTATTCTGTTTGTGGTTTGATTTTTAATATCTCTTTTTTCTTAAGTATTTAATCATGCTTGCTGAAATTTAGAATGTATTGCCAGGGAATAGAAATGTTTTCTTTCCTACTGTAGTACATTATAACACTTGATTTGAGAACAGTGTGCTCTCACCTTAACTTCAGGCTTATATGCGATCTGTGCCCTTTCATCTTTTTGAGAATGTAGGCAGTCTTCGTTAATAGACCATTTAAGTAAATTGTACACATTAGCCACTCTGGGCAGCATAGCTTTAGACCTTCAGTTTATTTTGTAAAAGTAGCTGTTTATGTGTGCTGATAATATAGTATAATTTAATTTCCTTTGCAATATGAAGACTGTATACTTCCATCCTTTTTTCTTCAGCAGCCTTTTGTCAATGAGATCTGCTTCTTGAAGTGTTTCTTCTCAGATCCTGCTAACAAGTCATAATTGCTTACCAAGTTGTGGTGTCATAACGCTTTCAAAGCATTGCTTTCTTTAAAGTTTCAGAATGCAACATGATTAGTAAGCCAAAATCCCATGTCTAAATTTGCTTTTTTTAGAAGATGCATATTCTGAATGTTAATTACTCAATAATAAAACTTAGCAGTTGGCACTTGATAAAGAAATAGTGTGGGAGAGTTATAAATGAAAACATAGATATTTTATGCATCTCTTTTTTTTTTTTTAAATATAGCAGGTTAGTAGCATGAGTAACTTTATAAAGGAGGAGGGTCTTTTCAAAAAAGCATTAATTATACATAGAGGATGAACATTTCTTTAATATAGTACAAAATCTGCAAAACTTTATTGTACCAGTTTTTCAATGTCTCTTTTCTGTCTTTTGAATATAGATGAAAGATGACATGTCATCATATGTATGTAAGACTGAAATATAAATAGCAAGTATTTAAGTGTTGTGTGATCCAAATGACTGCGCTTTAATAATGCTGACTTCTTTTTAAAATGTGAGAGGGATTGTTTCTAACTTGATACTGGTTAACAGCTGTGGAATAATCAAGATTATTATTACTATTCTTTAAGAATGGTGAAATTCTCTTTCCCAAGAGGGATTTGAAACTAAGCAGAAATAAAAAATTAACAGCCATCTATTATTTAGGTCAAACAGGACAACTATACCATGTGCATATTCAGAGTTATGTTAGTTACTGTTTTTTATAATCAGTAGCTTATTCAGATTATCATACTGTTAATATATTTATTTTTAGGTAGTTGTAATCCATGTCCAGAGACTGTAGATGTGAAATGTAATTGTGGAAAAACTGTCATTAAAGTGCCCTGTGGCAGAGAACGCACCATCAAACCTCCCAAATGCAAACAGCTGTGCAGGTCAGTATAGAAAGTGTGTGTGTTTCTAGTTCTTCAGTGGAGTTTAAAGTGTCCTTAAAGAAAGTAGTAAAATATAACTCTAAAAGGCAAAAATTATTCCTTTAATATGATTACAGATATTACTTCTGAGTTTTCTGCATTCTTGACTACGCAGATGGAGATTAGCAATAATCCTCCCTATAAGACACCTCTTTGGTGCTGTGGTTTCATGAGCAGCTTGCTGCTGTCAAAGGGGAGGTTCTGTCCCACCAAGCACTTCTAATTCTGTAGTCCCACTCCCTTCTTCAAGTCATCTCTGGTATGTTTTGAAGTACCTCCATGAGGCAGTTTACCTAGAAAACTTGACTAGCAAAAGAAAAAAAGAAAATATTTTCTGCTGGGGTATAGCAAAATTACTTAGCGCAGAGTAGAATTAGAATTGAAATAGCTGTTTGAATATACAAACCCAACTTTGATTTTAATTTAATTTAGAATTCCTGTATAATTTTACCGTCATATTAACCACTGCTGAAGGTGAGAAGTAAACTCATTTAAAAAAAAAAATAACTTGTTTGTCTCAGTTCTTCATATTTTGAGCATAATTGTCCAGTGACTGTAACTTCATATTTCTTGCTGTCATATTGATTCATTCTTGGATTTTACTTCAGTCGACCACCTACCTGTCACCACTCTACCCAGGAGAAACACTATTGTCACTTCGGTCGGTGTCCTCCGTGTCGTCAGTCCTGCCAGAAAACGTTAATGTGTGGTCATTTGTGCCCTGTTTCCTGCCACGACGAAGCACTTGTGAAGCAAACTGGCTTAGTAAGTAAATAGTGAAAAATGGTGTGTTATTTGTGTTCTGAGGAATGAGCAACAGTTGTTTGACCTTAGTCTTGTGTTGGAGGCTTTTGGAGTTCAGGGTATACAAGTAATCAAGTAGGGAGATATGCATAGTGCTTAACCGAGAAACTAAGCGGTTCGAGCTCCTTTGTTGCAATCTAATTAATTTTGTAATACGTATAATTGAATGTGCAGTTTTCAGCAGTTATAGTTACTCAAGAAATTACAAGATTTTTGTTAGAGTTGTATTACAAATGTTTAATTTCAAATGTAAGCAATTACTTTTGACATAAAAGCAAAAAATAAATTTTATCTCTGATATTTACTAAACTATCAAAATTTGCACAAGTTAGAACTGAGAAATTGTTTGGCATCTTTAAACATGACACATGCATGCACTGCATGATGATAATTTCACTTGTTTAGTAATTGAAATATTTTTATATTTTTACCTCTATTAAATGCTTAGAATCATTTTGCTGGTTTTTTGTTTGGCTTTGTGCTTGATTTTTAGCATTAGGGCCACAAGTCTTCATTTTCCTATCCCTAACCATGCTAAGGATGAAATTGTAATCTTTTGTATGTAGGGGGTGTTGATATTTCCATTAGTAAAATGTTAGTTACTAGAAAGTGGATTTGTTAGAACTGGGATCTCTTTAGATGATATGTTTGTTTATGGTCAAGCAGATCGTTCCAATTGTGTTTTGTATTCAACTACTGTTGTCTTTTGCTCTCAGCATCAGTCTGCAGGTCCTTGGGAACAGCCGTCTGAGCCAGCTTTTATTCAAACTGCATTACCATGCCCTCCCTGTGAGGTTCCTATACCAGTGTAAGTATTAAAAAAGAAAACAAATATGTTTGTTGTTTTCCTTTGGTATGAAAAGAGATTTTTTTTCTTTTTATACTGTTGTAGAGATGGACATGAAAATAACCATCTTTTCCTCTTCAGATGCAATGAGCCTATGTGAACACCACTCTCATAAAACTGGGAGCATTGGTGGTTGTTTAATAGACATTTTTGTAGTGTATGCTCACTGTATGAAAGGACTGATAGTGTTAGTAAAGATTGATTTTTCTAATACATGTTGTGCGCAATGCTATCTTAAAAGAAAAATATGAAAATTGCAAAGACAGCCATTGTAGGGCACATCTCCTAGTTCCTCTGAATTCCAACCTCAAAATCACCTCCTTTAGTCTGAAGACTCCTCTCCAGAGGAGGAAGGAAAGGAGAAGGATACCATACTGGAAAAGTTGTGCTTAGTTTTCTAACTAGAGGAAGCATCGTTACATTTCATAGTGCTTGGGGCAGATTAAGGTTCTATTAGCATTAGATCACATTAATTCTGGAATATCCTAACCCTTGATTGATCTTTGCAACTGTAATGTTCTTTTTTCTTTTTTTGTTTTAAATGAAAGTGATACGAGAGAAGTTTCCTGAATTAACAAAATAATAATAGTAAACAAAACCATAAAGTAATGTGTTGCTACAAAGCAAAATAACTGATGCCTAAGGCTTTTAGAATCATTGCTAAAACAGTGGCATTTAAACGAATATGATAATGGAGAATAGTTTAAATAATCCTATTCTGTATGGCTGGATGTTAGTGGGGATTCCATCCTTCACCACTGAGATTTTGCAATACTTTTTGATGTTTTTTCTAATAGTTTGGTATCTTTGAACATGAGCAGTCAGAGATTTGGAATGGAACGTATTCGGTGTGTGTTTCTGTAAATAATTAAAAGAGAGTTTCTTGAAAATTACTTGCTCTGTTAATTTCACAGAACCATTGAGGCTGGAGGGTACCTTGGGGTGGGGTCATCTAGTCCAGCCTCCTGCTAAAAGCAGATCAACACTGAATTCAACCAATTTGTTCCAGCTTTGTCCAACTGGACCTTGAAAACCCCCAAGTACATTGATTCTGCAGCCTCTCTGGACAGCCTCTCAGTGCTTGATTATACTGATTTCTCCCCCCACACTGTGTATCCAGTCAGAACCTTCCTTGTTTAAGAGTATGGTTGTTGTCTCTTACCTCCCTGCTATGAACTTCAGTAAGGAGCCCAGCTTCATCTTCTTGGTAACTTCCCCTTAATGCTGAAAGACTACTATTATATCCCCAACCTGCAGTCCCCAGCCTGCAGTGTTGCTGGGATTTAGTTAGTCCCAGGTGCAGGACTTTGTCTCTGCATTTCGTGAATTTCCTCTCAGCCTATTCCTCCAATCTGCCTAGATCCTTCTGAATGGCTGTTCTGGTTTCGGCAGGGATAGAGTTAATTTCCTTCCTAGTAGCTGGTACAGTGCTGTGTTTTGGATTTAGGATGAGAACAAAGTTGATAACCACCGATGTTTTAGTTGTTGCTAGGTAATGCTTACACTAGCCAAGGACTTTTTAGTTTCCCATGCTCTACCGACTGAGAAGGCTGCAGGTGCACATTCCCTGCCCTCGAATGTATTGATTGCACCGTCCTTTAGCATTGTCTGCAAAATTGGTGTATTTTGTCTCTTCCAAGTTACTGCTGAAAAAAAAAAAATTAAACAAGATAGGTCCCAGGCTGAAGAATTCCACCTGTAACTGGTGTCCAAGCAGGATACAAACAACTAGCCACTACCCTTTGAGCCCGGTGATCCTGCCAGTTTTTCATGCATCTAGTAGTTCATCTGACACCATTACATCTCAACCTGAATGCAAGGTTGCTGTGGAGAACCTCTCATCCGCAGATTTAGTAGTTACATGGCAGAAGGCAATCGGGCTGGCTAAGCAGTTTCCCCTTGCAGTAGAACAGAAACATGCTACAATGGAATGCAGAGGTTCTAGAAGCCAAATTAACTGCTTATAGGAAGATTATCTTGGATATAATTGAGCTGTATAGAGTGAAGAACAGGCTCCTGTGCTACATCTGCTTTGTACTATATGAGGTGAAAGACTGATTGCTCGTTAATATCCTGCTGTCCTAAAGACCATTCGTAGCTATTGCTAGTTGCTTTGTGTTAGAGAAATTATCAGGGATAGTTTTTGTTTTTTAAATACTCTTCTAGAAATTTTTAGGAACTGATTTACAGGTATTTTCGCTTGAATATTAATGATGTTTTCACTACTGTCCCTTGTAAGGTTTGAGTAGAGAAATCAAAATAATACTTGGGAAGGAGATGACAGGTATGAAATCAGAGGTAAAAAGAAAAAGGTACTTTTCAAAATAAATTGAGCAAAAAATTGATTTCATTTTTAGGAGATCAGTGTTTGAATGAGTCCTGATTTACAGGTATTTTCGCTTGAATATTAATGATGTTTTCACTACTGTCCCTTGTAAGGTTTGAGTAGAGAAATCAAAATAATACTTGGGAAGGAGATGACAGGTATGAAATCAGAGGTAAAAAGAAAAAGGTACTTTTCAAAATAAATTGAGCAAAAAATTGATTTCATTTTTAGGAGATCAGTGTTTGAATGAGTCACCGTTTAATACCTTCACAATTGTGATCAGTGTGCAGTTTTTCTTTCCTAGGGATGGTAGGCCATTCTAAAAGGGATAAAATAGTAAACATAAGAGTAGACTATATAGTTCTCTGAAATAACTGAAAAATATGAAGTGATATATTAGTAGAGCCAAAGGAGAAGATATTTGGAAGCAATTCAGGTAACTTTCTAAACACATTTTCTAAAATAAAAATTATTAATTTCATATACAACTATAATTAATCTGCACATGAAACACTGATTTTGGGATTGCCATCATAAAATACAGCAATCCAAACAACTGTTGAGAAAGAGAAGGCATTGATCTGCATAGATAGATGATTTTCTCTTTAGTTTGCACTTTTTAAAGCATTATTTTTGTGTGAAAAGCACTGTCACTGTTTTAAGTCCCTTATTAAAGAAATACATGTTTTCTAAATCTCTGATTTTTCTCTCTTTAACAGGGAGTGTCTTGGGCAACACGAGGTGAGTCGTGGAAACTGCCTTTTTAAGTGGAATATGAAGTATATCTCCCTTTGTCAGTCTGCAAAAAAAAAAAGTATTAAAGAGAAATATTATATGGCTTTTTTTGTATTTTAAAACCAATGAAGTACCTTATCACAAGGGCTTATGTATCAGAAGGTATTTTAGTTCCTTTTTGAAGAATACATAACTACTTGACTTCATAGAATTCTTGGACAGAAAAATAAACTCAGGATTTTTGAAGCTAGCTGTGTATTCGTGCAGTTGTTTAAATAGTGTAAATTTTTTTGGGCGGTCTTTTTTCATTATCTACTTCTGGGTTTTTTTTCCTCATTCTATAGTTATTGTTCTCTCCCTATCACACACTTTCCTCAGTTCTCCTAGAAACTGCTGTGTTTCTTTTAAAAGGATAAGGAACATAGTGTCGTACAGAAAATTTCTCATGTGACTCAGATCTAAGCATGCATGGATGAAATCAGACAATATAGTGGAAGCTTCTTTAGTGTTACTTATTAGCTTTTCTTTTTGGTGTGCAGCCTTCTCCAGTTTTAGATGAAGTCATTGTCTATTTTGGCTTACATGAGAAGAAAATCTAATTGACGCTTGAAGCTAAATAACGATCATTGTTATTCACAGTAATTTCTAAAAGTCATGAAATTTAAGATCAATTTATTTTTCTCAGTTTGAAAAGATGATTGCTAAACTAATCTTTAAAAAAAATTATTGCTATTATAGCTTTGGCAATATCTCTACTAGTAAATTTGGCATAAATTCACTATTGAAGTGCAGCTAACAATACTATAACAAACTAAGTTTCACTTTAAGCTAGTAAAAAATTCTAGAAAACAGTAAACACTTAAAAATATTTAAAGACACCCCCTCCTTTTTTTTCCTTTGACCTTCTGTAATAATCTTTTGGTATGTATTGTAATGGTGGCTTGATTACGTGGTGGCAACATCTACAAATGTTGTTAACAAGGTTCATATATCTGCAGTCTGTTTGTGCAGCACATTTATTAATCCAACCAAGCTGTGAATACAGCTTCCATAGAGCTATTTTGCAGCTTGTTGGTTGCTAAAGAAAAATGTGCTCTGAAAATGGATAAGAACAACTGTGCCTCTTTGTTTGTTGTTGAAATAGCTGGGGTTTGTTTTTGCTTTCCACAGTAAAATTTGCAGGTGTATCAACCAATGTTTTAGTGAGCCAGTGACGTGTTTTGTGATAGGACATCTCGAATCTCACCCTAACTTTTATGAACTTATGTATAAACAAAATATAAGCTGTGGTCAATTGACCCAATATGTAACTTGCTCTAGACAATGTTACTGGGTTTGGTACTGTTCAGATGTACATGATTGTGAAGTTTATGTCCCTCCCCATAACAGAGGACAGTATGGCTGCTCTCATTAGAGGAAATGGTTCTAATTACTACATATTTATAACTACTTATTTCAGAATAATTTAAAAAAAGAAAAAATCCCTTCTCTGTTGCATACTAGTCTTAGCAGAATCAGACAATGGCTTTGGGTCATGTTTTCTGTATGGGTTAGTATAGAAAATAAGGAAAAATCCCAGGGAGTCTATACCTAACTTTAATTATTTAAGTTTATTGATACTATATGATATTCTAGATTAAACATTTCTTCTGTCAGCCAGCAGAGCGCAGTGCTTCCTTCCTGCTGAAGTTTAGCAGTTTCTGGAGTGGAATGAAGTGTCCTAATCTTTGAGATTTTGATAGCAGTCAAGGAAAAGAATGATTTGTTAGAGTGTGTGTGTGTGTGAGGGGGTGTTACACAGTATTTTATGTGCATTGTACATTTTTATGTTGTTCTGAGATCTCTAAAAAGAAAAAAAAAAACCCATGTAATGTCTGTTCAGTGTTTTACAGCCACGTTGGCTCTTAACAAGTAATCTCACCTCAAAATAATTTATTTTTGTTAACAAGAGAAAACACTTGTATGTATTTATGAATACTTCCTTCCTATAGTAGTTTCCAGCCTGAGGGGATTTTCACTAGGAAATATGAACTTTTCACAGGTGATGGAAGTAGCAATTTTCTCAAGCAAAGTTCTGTTGTGAAGAGGGGCTCGTTGCTGTACTATGTTACTACTTATGTTGGACTGTTGTTATACCTCCTATAATGGAGGAGGAATAAAAGAAACAAACTAGGAAATGAGTTATAAAGACTTCTTGTATTTTACCGGGATGACTGTAGATGATGAGTAGAAGAGAGAATGAAAACAAACATCTTAGGAGTTGTATAATAAGCAAATCTACTGTCTTTACATTTTTACTTGGACAGTAATTTTGTTTAGGTATTGGAGTTGGTTGTTTTGTTGGGGTTTTTTGTGGTTTGGTTTTTTTTAATTTCACTTTGGCATTTAGTTTAAAAAGTATTTTTAAGGGATTGATTTAGTTTGAGCTCTTACATGTCTTTGGGTATTTAGAACAAGCAATTTCTCACTTGAAACAACAGACTTAAAATTTCTTTTCAGATTATATAATTGTATAAAATCTGTGTTCAGTGGAAGTATGATTCTACATAATGTTTAACCTAAAATAAGATTTCTTTTAGCTACAGAGTTCAGCCTTCTTTTAAATAATTTTACTGTGTAATTTTTGGATGTTTTTACTTATATTTAGAAAAAATAATAACTCTTCATTCTTCGATTTGTAGGTGCTTAAAAGTAGCTCTCAATTTTGTTTCAGGTTGTAGGTCAGAAAAATCACCTATCATCAACAGTTGCTGCCACCCCAAAATGAAAACTTGATGTTTTACTTTGAACTGCTATAAGCATTGGCATTTCATAGCAGTAGCATAGATGTGCTCTTTTAAAATCAAATTATGAGAGCTAATGTTTATATTCAAAATCTGTTTTTATGGGAAAACATTAATTAAAGCCCATACAAGGTAAATGAGAACAAACAAGGAAATCTTAACTGGATATGTTATTAATTTATCTGCTGTATTTAATTATCTTGTAGCTGCTTCATTTCATTAAATGTTCTAGGGGAAGGGAAACGTTCTGTTTTTGTTTCTGTGATGAGTATTTTGAATATCCTGTAATATCAGTCTTGCATATCAGTCTGGCTGTTTTCGGGCAGATGGAACTTTTTTCTTTTTTTTTTTTTTTGGTAGGAATTTAATGCTATGTTTTATTATTCTAAATTTTTTTTAGTTGTGGTTCATTTATAGGAGGAAGACCATTACTCTGCCTCTAGGTAAAATTTTATGTAAAACTTGATAAGATTCATCTTTATGGCTAAATACCTTATGAATATTTCCAAAATTTCCCTGCCCTATTGTACTTGATTTTTATTTTCATATTCCAATTGATGTATCTGTTAGTTGCTTTTATGCATTTGGGACATGTGCTGGAAAGCTTCTGAAAGTTGTCTTGTCCTTTTTTCCTTGCCTTCCTTTCCTTATCCAGTGGAAGACCTGTGGTCTGAAAATGATGCCTCATTACTTTCTTTCTCTTTCCATTCAGCTTTCATAAAATACTTCTGGTTCTCATCTGCATTCTTTATTCTTCAGCTCATCAGTCTCCTGGAGTTTGTGACTTCTTTGATATTCATCTTTGTAGCAAGAGTAGCGACCTCCATTTAGCCATTTCAGAAATGCATTCCAACTATAGAAAGTAAAACTTTTCTTTACTTTGTCCTTTGGATTTATTACTAATATCCACAACAGATTGACTTGTCAAGAAATTGAAACAAAATTTGAAAATATAATGTAGGTTTAAATTAATTGAAATTCTTTTGGTTTTGGCTACAATGTCAACTGATTCCAGAAGACTCTTATCTTTTATTGGACTCAAGACTTGGGAAAGTCAATGAGTGGGGCAAGCTGAAGCTATGCTGGATGCAGCCAGAGGGCTGGGATGTTCTCTGCTGTTGACTGTCTGAAAGCTGCTACTGTTGTCTACTGGCTTGTGTGCTTCCCTGCCTCTGGCTTCATTCAACATTGCATCTCATCTGGTGTACTTGAGGGATGCTACCAGAAAGGATGCTCCACTTCTGCCTATGTGCTTCTGCTAATTCTCTTTAACTGGAGCTAGTGGCTGTGTCCTTATCTGATGGAAGACTAACTCTTGGTAAAAGAAGTCTCATCAGCATATTGAACTGTGCAGCCATAGAGCTAGTCTGCTGTTACTGCCCTGATCTGCTGTAATTGCCTGAGCCGCAGAACCAGTAGTCATAAAAAATTGAGGGGAAATGGGGGAGCAAGGAAAGGTACAGAAGTGGGCACTGGCAGATCTTAGTGTTTAGTACACCTTTTCATTCAGTCTTTTACCTTCCATCATCCTTTGACTACTTTTGTTGCTACTGAAAGGAAGTTGTGACTCTGAGGAAGGAAGAGGAGGACGATGGAGGAGGATGAGAAGGGACAGGATATTAGGAACGGTAAAAGCTTTGGTAATTGGTGTGTGTTCGCTGGGGTACAGTACTATTCTCTGCTTCAGACCCTCTTTTTATTAGGCCTATTGCTGGCTTTTGCTGATTTGGTCAACAGAAACATAAGCCATCATAGACTGAGTTGTAGGATGTTTGCAGGGGGGAGTATGAACCAGGCATTCAGACTACTTGCTATGGTTGTATTAGTGCTTTAGCCAGACTAATGAGCTTCAGCTCTGACATACGGATGGGAGAGTAGTTGGACGTGATAGCCTCAAGGTTTTCTCCTTTGTATTCCATGCTTGATGTTCAGCCTGCCATGCAGACTACTCCTGTTCAGAGTCTCGGTGGGTCAGGATGAGGAGTTCAGAAGTCTTGTGAACGAATTGCATTTTGCAATGACTTGATGTGGAGTACAGTCTTTTTTTTTGAGTGGAGCCCGGAAAACGTTTCTATAGGCAAGTGGATTCAAATCCTACTTTGTATATTTTTGCTTTAGGATTGAGGGAAATCAACATGGACAGTGCTGAAGGGAGAATGTCCCTCGCTCTGCCCTGTGGGGGACCATCCTCTCTTCCTTCATTTCAGTTCCAATGCTCATCTGGGTGTATGGCCAATCAACTTGCAAACCTAGCAAAAGACAAGGAACTTTTTTTCTATTAATTCTTTTTCTTCCATTTTGATTAGTTGAATTGTCTTGCTCTAAAGACACGTGTGGTAGGACTTGTTCAAAGTAAGTGGTACAAGTGCGCAATTAGTATTGTAGAGTTGGAAGAGAGAGAAGGAAGGGGTACAGTGCAAAGCTGTTCAGTCAACTTAAGTGGTAACACAAAATCACACCCTTAGTCTAGTCAAAGTAAGTTATGTCACATTAGCCTATTGTGTAATAACATCAGAAATAGTTTCTGTTTTTCTCTGTGAAATGATCATGATATTAAGGGGAAAAAAAATCAATTTTTTTGACAGCATCACAAAAAATTTTTTTTTTCATGTGAATATTATATAATGGTTGGAAAATGGGAACAGAGAGTTTGCTCTAATACTTATGATATGGAGGGACTTGTACTATTCAACTTTAGGAAAGTAACCTAGTTAACCAAGTTAGGAATTCACACTGCATTTCAGTGCCAATGAAGATTAAAGGCTTCTAAATAGATGCTCTGAATAGTACTACAAAGCTCTGTTAACTGGAGTGTTAACCTCAAATTAGAAACTACAAATATATCAGAAGACATTAAAATCCTAGTCCTGTCATAGAGACATTCTTCTTCCCCTTCCCATTCCTGGGAGGTATATTTGATATAGTCAGTATTTGGTTTTTAGAATTTCTGGCTTGCAGGTTGTTTTCTGTTTGTAGAATTGTAAAATTTTGGGTTTATGATGACCATAACAGAATTAGCCCTGTGAAAGCAAACTGTAACTGTCTTCTGCAATAACCGTAAAGCAGTTTAAGAACCTTTAATGGAAGGCACGAGTATAATTCAGAAAGAAGGAATAAATCACACTAAAAGATTTGAGAATGTAATAGTCTGTTTAAAAAAAAAAAAAGGAAGCTATGTTGCAAAAGTTAGACAGCTTGTTTAATTAATAAAGGGGGCTTTTTACCTGGCATAATCAGTGTAAAACAAATGTGTGGTTATGTTGGGATGGAAACCTAAAGTCTGTTAAAAAAAAAAAAGGTCATAATAGACATTGCACTGGTTTTCTTCTTTTAACAAAGATACTCAAGAACCAAAACTTCTCTGTAATGATGCTGTGCCTCTGTGTGTGTGTTTGTGTGTATATACAGTGTGTTGTGTATATATATGTATCACACAGTACACATGTGCAATGTGTGTATATATACACTATCTGCACATATATATTTTTTTTATATTTATTTTTAACTTCTAGGTTAGTCCATTACCATGTCACTCTGCAAATCCCTACTCATGTAAAAGACTTTGTGGGCGGCTTCTTGATTGTCAGAATCACACCTGTATGAAAGAATGTCATCTTGTAACTAAATTGAACAGTAGTGCAGATGGAAAGAAGGTAGGTTAATTTCCTTTTTGTTTTTGTGTATTTTATACATTGTCTTCAGTTTTAACTGGAAAATAAAGAATTTGCAGGTGGAAGGCACAGGATCTATTCCAGATTCCACTGGGAGACTTGCACGTGTTCTGTTCCCATTGATGCTGTGACATTTAGCTAATCTATATTTCTTTAGATTATAAAACTGAGACAATATTATATGTTTTGCAAATGCTACACTTTTTTGGTTTATGTTAACACACATTACTTTGTTTTCCTCAAAACCTTATTTAACACTCTTGACAAGTCTCTTTTAAAGTCAGGTTTTGTAACTGTCAAGATGAAGTGAACTACCGATAATCCCTATATACAAATGCAGTTGCAATCTACTGGGGAAACTATTTACTGAGGAGAGCTGTAAATGGGTTGAGGAGGCTGGCAAATCTTTAGGAGAAAACACTGGAAATGTTGCAGAATAGGTGAAGACTTCTTAAAGCACTGGGGTCATATATTCGTGTTTATCAGCGTCTACTAGAAACTGTCATTTATGCGATTAAGAAGCTGTAGGTGTTAGTTGCTGAAGATAATATGAAACAAATGAAAGTAAGTACAAAGCTGAAAACTGTTCTAGTTTTGAGCAGCCAGAAAGCATATAGCTTGCGGTTTGAGAGTCAATTTGGAGGAAAACAGCTTTTTAAGTTTTTAAAGCATCACTTTAGAAGAAGTTGCAACATGGTCTCTCTGGGCATTTAGAAAACTGAGCAAGCATTTAGTTGGGTACAAAACATAAATGTTATATTTTAACTTACTATTATGTTTTAATTTAAATAGGATGATTTCCCTGTGGATTTCAATCCTAGAAGTGGTCATGTCATCTAATAACTGTATATATTGCAGTTACCGTATTATTCTATTAATGATTGTGGAACTTTTGTCTGAGGAGTATGAGCTGTTAGTGCAACTTGTGGAACAGTAACCTGCAGCAATAGAGTGACATCAGTAAGTACTGAGAGTGACAGTTGTTTAAGCGTCTCCAGTTACGACTATAAGAGGGTGTCTGCCTACTCCTTCAGGTAAACCAATTAAAATGTGAACGGGTCAGGATTATTCCTAGCTCCATTCTGAATGAGACAATACATTCTCAGAAAACAGGAGTCTATGTACATGTGAAGTATGGGTAAATCTTATTTCTCAATTTTCTTTGAGTTTTTATAAACTCAAGTTGGTTTTGACCTTTAGAGCTTTTGTTCTGTTGTTTTGATAGACTACATTGTAGGTGTAGTCAGAAAAGGGCTGATTAAATTTCTTGCTTATATGTCTGAGTAGTGATTTTTCTGTCTGGAATTTAGATTTATTCTGCATAGAATGTTGTGTTACAAAATGTTGCAGAAAGGCCAGCTGTTTGCTTTTACCTACTGTTAAATTTTATATCACGGTTTTCTACATGTTTTCAGCTGCTATTGTCTTTTAGATGTGAGTTTTTGGGGGTTAGGTTTTGTAAATGATCACTGTACAAAGGTTCCTTTTTAAACTTCAGCAAAAATTGTTCAACTGTAGAAGCAGAAGAAAAGGGGACTGGAAGAAAATGGGGGAAAACTATCAAAATTTTAAATTCTTATGCCCTTATTTTGAACAGCATAAAGTGAGATGTTGGCATGGAATTAGTCCTTTTAGGGAAGCATTGTGTAGGTTCATTCTTGGATAAATTGGCTTTACTTAGAGTGACTTCTGTGAAACTGAGCATTTGAATGTGATGGTGGTTGTCAAATACTGTGCAGTGTAGGTTCAGTTGATAAATCATGTCAATCTATCTGTGTGTATTTGCAGGCTGGGGTTCTGGATGAGTTATTAAGATAAGAATATGAATAGAAATGGAACTTAATTTACTGTGCTGATGTTCATCACGTTATGCTGATGTTGATTGCATCACCTGGAATGAGAATGACACCACAGCTCTTGTAGACTGTGCAGTATATGGAGCTGAAGCAACGCCTTAGCAGCTCCCAGCATATACCTAAGCTAATACTTTTTGGAAGACTATACAAACTATCGTACACGTATGGAAATGGAATGCCTTAAAGTTTGCTTCTTAAAATGAAGCAAACAAACCTCCCCACCCCTGTATTACAGAGCAGTATGTCATGACTAAACTATTACAATAACATGGTGGGTGGTAGAAGTTAGTTCTGAATATGAAATTACTTCTTTTTCTAACAGTTTTCCATAGAGAATTAACAGGCTTAATGGCAATTTTCCAAAGCACTAATATTAAGAGATCCTTTTATGCCCAGGAAGCAAAATAGAACTCTGTCTCTTTGACCGACGAACGCTGGCATTTCTGCTTTTCTTTTAAAAGCATATTTTAATAATTATTTTTGCTTGAGGGATATCTTACTGAATAGCTGGATTCCCTTAGCAAAAACACACCAACGTTTTCTTCTATATAAAAGCTTGTCAATGGCATCTAACAAACAGATGTTTGGCACTTTCCTTAGTACTTTGTTTTTATTTTGTTAGGCAGGTCCAGAATGTTCGCAGTGTGAAGAGGAGTGTACCAAGTCCCGGCCATCTGGCTGTCCTCACCGATGTGTTTTGCCCTGTCATCCTGGGGATTGCCCATCATGTCTCCAGATGCTTAAAATAAAGTGTCACTGCAAACTATCAGTACTGTATGTTGAATGCTTGTAAGTGTCAGAACTGAACCAAAGTTTTCATTTGAATGCTACTAACTGGAAACCATTTGAAATGTCTAGGGATGGGAGCTACTCTTACAGCAAGTTATAAGATTTCTCTGGAAGGTTACAATTTGTAATACGATGGGGTTTTTTCTATTTAAAAATTGCCAGTGTTTTATTTGGTATTGCTGCTAAAATTATTATAAATGCATGGAGTCTCGTGAGCAGAACTGGTTTTTATAATACAGTAATATTTTGAGTTATGTAAATATATAGTAAACTACATGTTTGATCTATATGTGGTTCTTTTACAGTATGTAAAAGAATTTTATAACAAGAATTAGAATTAATGTAGTTAGTGTAAAAGGTCTTTACAACTAATGTCCTTCAAACTCTAGCTGTTTTAATTGGAAAACTTCTTAGTAATCATTTGTACTCCTTTTTAATCATTTGTGTGTGTGTGGACAGAGGGTAAGCTAGGCTTTACTAAATATAAGATGGGACTTGTGGATTTAAGCATTATCCTCTGTGTATTGCTCTGAAAACATTCATCCCATGCATGTATGTTCTTCTTTGTGCATTTTCTTTAAAGTACCTCAAATCCTCTAACTTTATGTGGTTTTGTCTGTAAAATAGTGTAGTTTATATTAGTCCCACAGGATGTGGACAAATGAGCCCACTTTTCTTTACAGCGAGACATACTTAAAATATACCCCTAATTGTATTGATTTTCGTTGTTTTTAATTTGGAATTTATCAAAAATACATCTTTTCTTTTACAGAAAACTAACATGTGCTGATTTAAAAGAAAAGGAGCTTCTTATTTCCTGCAAAAATCAGTGTCCAAAAGAGGTAAGCCATATTAACAGAGAAATACTTGATTTGATGAATGTGTGGAATTTTGTGGATTTTACTTTTTTGTAAGGTTTTTGATGCAGTTTCATAGGCCAAGCAAACTAGAGAAGCTTAGTCTAAATGAATATGCTAAATGATAGATGCAAGGGTGGTTAGTGAACTGTACTCAGAGGACAATTGTTAATGTCTTGCTGTCAAATTGGAAGGTTATATTGAAGGATCAAAGATTTGTCTCCAAGGCGTTAATGGCTTGAATGTTAAAGCATGCAGATGAGGTTGAATGTGGAAGAGTATGTCCTCTAACGTGGTTAAAAACTGGTCTTGAATTTGTATCCCCAAAATAATGGGATGCTGTTTGATTAGGAAAAATACTGAGAATTGTGCTTGCAATTGTTCTCGTCTAAGTGCAGGTCTAGTAATCACTGTCTGTGCAACAATTCTGGGGAGGGAGGGAAAGGATTTTGTACTTGACAAGTGAGATGAGTTGTTAATCCATTAGTGAAATATATGTTAAGTAGTGTGAAGTAGAAGACAAGCCAGTTAATCTTTCTACTGGATCCAGGTACAGCTAAAGGGTTGCTGTAAAGAAGAGAAGAATAATGTCCTTATTGCATGATGCTTAGACTATGAACCAGTGTATATAGGCATCAGTAAGGAAGATTCATGTTAAATACTACTTCTGAGTAGTAAAGCTTGTGGAGCAGGGGAAGAACTGGTTGGAGAAGCTACCAAATTTTCATCAGCAACGGCTTAGATGTGTCAGGATTTGTCCAGTTGTGGATAGTACTGCTGTAAGATATGAGGGACGGGCCAAATGACTTTTTCCTTGTCCCTCCTAGTGCTGTTATTATGTGCTGCCTTATGTGCTTTCAGAAATCCATGCATTACTTACTATTGTATCTTTGTTCTTTAGTTGTCATTAGTTGTGAGAGTGACAGCCCTTTCTTTGTTACCCACTGCAGGGTTGGAAAATTTATGAAGTGGAAAACAGGAATAGTCAGGAATATTTTGGAAAGTGTTTCCACTGCTAAACTCTCCAGAATTTCTGAGAAATTCTCCTTCCCTGCAATAAAAATGCTTGTACTAAAGAAAATATTTTATCCCATAATCACTTATTATTTTGTTGTTCTGGTTTGGCCTTTTACTGTGTAGCTGAGTCTTTGTCTCATGCAATATTTAGCTGGCACTCATAAATAATTTGATTTAACCCATTCTCCTTCCCTGATTCCACTCAGTTCCCTTATGCTGGTTTACCTATGATGTCCTCTAGTCTAAGATTTCTGTCGTCTTACCTCATCTCTTGTAGTTCTGAATTCTGCCTCAACATAATAAATGTAGGTTCAAAACTTTTCTTCTGTTTCATTATTTTCCAGAGTCAGAAGCATCAAATTTGAATCCTTGCCTTTATTTGAAAACTTTTTTTGGTTTTGAGTAAATGCAAAAATTCACAGCATTCCAGTCTCTGTTCTTCTGTTTTTCAGACAAGATTGTGTTAACCCCAACAGGAAGGCTGTGCTGTGTGCCTACTTGTATCTTCCGCTTTTTGCCCTTGGAGATGCCTTTCTGATGTCTTTTTTTTCTGTAAATAAATGTGCCTGTCACAATTTTCTCATCTGGATGTCTGAAAGCTCTCTTCCTGGTAGAGGAACACTTTTGGATATTATTTCATTGTCCATTTACCTCTTAATTTTGTCCTTTCATTTCCCTCTCTGTTACTTTGGTTTTATTTGCTCCAAGACTTCCTACTCTTTTATTTTCAAGAGTGCTTATAATCTCTTATCATGAACTATGTGTTCCTGTACTTCAGCTTCTCTTCAAAGATTCCCCCCCCACCCCCATATCTCATCTTTGACTTTGATTAATGTAACTGTTGTGATTTTTCTGGACATATTCCCAAGGCTCAGTCTGGGATTTAAAATCCACCTAGTAGTGGTCCTGAATTCTAGCTTGCAGTTCAGAATTGCCCTGTTCTACAGATTATGTCTTTTTTACTTAATTCAGTGGGATGTGAAAGAAAGCTTAGGACAACAGAGTCCACTTTGGGTTTATAAAGCTTTTATTTAAATCTAAAATGCTTATTCCTGTAGATGCCTTGAAAAATAAGGTTTATGCAGCTTCTGCTATCCAGAGAATCTTTTTAGCGTAACTGATGACGAAAAAATGCATGTGCTCTTCCCTTCCTGTGATTCTAGCTCTAGCTCTTACTGGCTTTCATGAAACATAAAACTACTAGTACAGTCCTGCTTCAGGTAGTTCATATCTTTGTCTTACAGTTCATCCTACTTTCCTTGGACCCTATTTTGGTAACATCATATGTACTGTATGGGTTTTTTACCATTTTTTTTGGTCTAAAAAAATTGTTCCTGTTTCTCTGAATATTGAACAGTGCTAGGGATATTTTGTCTGCTTTATAAGTATACAATATTTGTCTGCAACTTTGGGAAAATTAGCTAGCTGTATCATAATACAAATTGTACTGATAGTTCTCTTTTAAAGGAATCATTGATAAACACAATTTGAAGGAGCAGCCTTAACATACATCACCCTGCCACTACCACCACCGCCACCCCTCCCCAGCAAATATAGATCAAGCCCATTAAGATGACCTCATGACAAGAACTTAAAAACAACTTGGCCAAAAGATAAGATGGATAAGACTACCAAATTTAGAACATTTAAAGTTTACAAATCAAGTACGTCTGCTCAAAACTAAATTTGAAATGTTTTGTGTGTAGTCCTGACAGCCTCAAGTAAATTTCAAATTAGTGTTTTATAAGAATTTTCTTACTCGATGTCAGAAGCTGACCTTGGGACATTAGCAGAGCTCTGTGAAGTTGCTGTTTGATAAAAATCAGTGTGCACTGTAACTCCACCAAGCTTAGCATAGTGCAACTTAGTAAAATACTGTATTCTATTGAACCTGAAGCCTTAGTTTTGAGATGTTTTTCTTTTTGGTTAGTGGAAATTGTGGTAGACATTATACTACCATGTTTGACTTACAGGTAGCACGGTACATTTGGGGATTATGAAAATCAATTATATTGTCTGGTGCCTTGAAAAAACGCAACAGGAACTTGAAAGTCTTCAAAGGCTTCATGCTTTTGTTTTGGCAATGGCAGTATAAAACTATAAAAATAACTTCTAGTATTATACAGTACAGCTCACGTTTCCTTTCTGCTTTAGGGAGAAGCAAAGTCTTTGATATTGCCACAGCTGTTAGATGAGAAGCTTTAATTAAAAAGTTCTTTCTCTTATTTGGTAGCAATAACAAAATATCCTGTTGAAGGAAATGTAACTTTTTTTAAACCAGGGGTGATTAAATTCTTATGATCATGTTTGCAGATGTTTTGGGACAATTCTTACATAGAAGTTTTAACAGTCTATCAGTTTTCATTGTTTACGTATTCATATCAGTATTTGTGGATCTGTGTTTAACACTTTATTCTGTGTAATTAATATTTTTTGACAAAATAACTGTACTTTGTACTTTGACTGTGCACTCTGCTACTGTCTTGATGTGAAATATGGGACCCCATTGTGATAAATTTATTTTAAGATGATAGTGCAGTAGAGACGATGTCATAAATTTTAAGAGTATGCATATCTTTAGGCTTTTTTTTTTTTTTTTTAAATAAAGGAAATAAATTTTAGTTCCAGAATACTTAATTAATTTCTGTAAACACACCTTGAAAATGTACGTGGGTTGCAAAAATTTAATTTTAAAAGGCAAATGCACAGCTTTGGTCTATAATGAGAAGATTCTCTTCAACGTCTGGCTTAAGTAGTGGAGGTTTTCGTAAGATGTCTGGAAGCAGAGCCACCCTTTAAACTGAAGAGTCTGCCCCTTTGTTTGGAAGTGATAAGTTTATCTTTTGTATTTAGCTTTTAGGATTGCTGCTCAAAAGTTCTGTTTTCTTTATTAACAGTTTTTCTGTATTACCAGGTGTGTATTAACAGGTTGTGTTTATTACCTTCTGGTGGAGATCAGTTAAGCCTCCATGAATGTTGATGGGTTTTATCATCATCAGACATAATGTTGAGATTTAAATGCATTGCCTACAGGGAAAATACTTGTAAGATTTTTGTTTTGTTTTCAAAGCTGTGGATTAAATCCCTTTCTTTTAAAAGCCTCGCCATGTCAAACATAAAGCCTCTTCATTTTGGCCTTTAGTTCACGAGCTATTGACAAGAGATCTTGTATGGTGAAAAAGATCTGAAGAGGCACACACTTTCTATTTTAGTGCCAAGTAGCTCAGCATGGACACTTAAAAACAAGCAAAAAAAAGTCCTTTCCCACTACATTATTTATCCAGCAGAAGCAGCGGTGGGATTGCTTTAGTCTTCTGAGATCATGGAGAAATGTTGTTTTGCCACTCATTTCACTACTACTCTTGGTTTTGGGGGGTTTTTTTATGTTGGTTTTGCATTGGAGGGAGTAAAAGGAAAGTTACACTGCCAGCTTTATTCTTGTACTGCATCCTGGTGGATGTGAACTGTGTAGCTCTATGCAGAGAACTAAATGTGTAAATTTGGGTTTCAGTATTAGATTATACATATTTCTGTGCTATGCAAATTTTGCTCTAGTGGTTTGTAAGAATTTTATTGCAGTACCACCTGGAGGTTGAGGTAAGGGCTACTGTCTTGAATTTGCAGCTCTGACATGTCACTTATAAGACTGTTTGTTTGGGCTTTGACACTATTAATGCAAATGTACCTAATTAGTATGGAAGACTAAGCTGGAAGTAATAGTTCTAGCCATGGATTGTTCTGGCCAGCATGGGATGACTTGCAGGTCGGACTAGATTGTGTTATTGTGTATGATGCTCTTGGGTAGGGAGCCAGGAGAAGGGCCCTCTTACTGCGCAGAGGTCATGCAGTAGCAAATTGGTTTTGCAAAGATTGTGGTCCCCAGTGAGTAGACTCAGCTGTTAGACCCTGTGGCCCCAGCTGGTAGTCTGACCTCAGTAGTGTACAAGGCTTAAAGACAAGTTTCTCCCCTCATTTTTTCAAAATGAGGCAAAATGCAAGATAGATTTGCTGATGATCAGTTATGCCTGAACAAACCTAAATTCCTTCTTTGATAGGATGACCAATTTATAATTTTTCCCCTCCAGATAAAGCAAATAGATTAGATCTGCTACATAAGGCTTCAGCAGAGCAATTGAGTCGATGCCACTTGGTGAATAGCTAGTTCAGATACAGAAGAGGGTTAATACAAGGATGAAGGTAGGCTAAAGGAAACGACTGCTTGTATTTTATTATTTAACACACACCCCCCTCCAAAAAAAACCCAAAATAACAACAACAAAACTAAATGAAAAGTTGGAGCGAGAGATGTTAACAATAAGAAAATTTTCCCAAGGACTGGACTGATGCTTGACCTTGCATTGTTTTCAGTAACGACCTTGGCACCAAAAAACATTGGAATTTTCTGATGGAAACTTGTGGAGTGTTGTCAGTACATGACAATTCAGGAAATGCATCTGCAGAACACGTGTATTTGGGGCATGTTATTAGATACAGAAAGAACAGTAAGACCATGCATGTCAAGGCTAATAATAAGCGCCCAGGAAACAGCAGAAATTCTTACTGTCACAGCATGATTAGCTGGAGAGAAATGCAAATGAGAGCTGAAGATGTATTGGGGAAGATATTCTATTAAGAATAAGGTGCAATTAAGGTATTGTACAAAGTCCTTCCTGCTGAGATGTCATTTGGAATATTACATGCAGTTCTGGCTACTGTATTCAAGAAACACTGATTTAAGCTGGTTGAAATTCAATGAAGGGAATACTATGGGAATAAAGAGCCTTTTATGAAAGGACAGTAGAGAAATATCTCAATATGAGGATAAGAACTAAGGGGTTTAGACTGGCTAGAATAAATGTAGGAAATTCAAAAAAAGCTTTTGCATCTTGTAGTGAGCTCCTGGAACAGCCTCCTTAGCGAAACAGTAGAAAGAGGGCAGAATGGGGGACTGTTTTCATGGTAAGGCTTCATCCAGTCCTAGAGGGATTGTAGGAGCTGCCTGCCTTTAGGAGGACTGGACTTTAGGACTGAACATGATGACTTAGAGGTTCCTTCTAGTCCTGTGTGGAATGTGCTGAAACAGTGACTAAAAAAACCGAGCCTAAACCACAAAGTATCTATCAGTGTAATAATAGTTTGTGACTGGCGTGGACATGAAAGTATGTATGTCTGTTCCATAATTTTTAATTGGAAAATTTTGCATTCTGTTAAGGTATGTGTTTCATGACACTAGCTCAGAGGTTGAGCCAGTTCCAATGGACTTCTCAGAATCCACATTTACTAATCAAGAAGTGTATACAGCTGGGTTTTATAATTATCTTATGTAGTATTCTCATTCTTGTGGATGAAGTGATGTATCATGTATACATTTTCATTTTTTAATAAATGTGGAAAAAATTTATCTTAAAGTTGTATGTCTTACAGCAGTTTCCAAGTTGTGTTAATCCCTTGACAGTGAAGAGGTGTTCTTTAATAAAGAACACTATCCAATGCCATTTTAAATGGTTTGGGGATTTAAAGCTACCTCTATAAATAAATCGCTGGATATCTTATGTGAGATTCCACCTTCAGTTATTAACAGTACTGGGTTATGTAATTGAAAATGAAAAATCATTATTGTGAAGATTTCTTATGGGTACGTGTATGAGCAAGGTATATTTTCAGTCAAGTTCTTAACAGAAAGTGAAAAAAATTGTTTGCTTTCTTGTCATTTTTATCTAATATAATGCTGGGAGCGCTGCTACATTCCTAACAGCATATTTAAATTAGTATCTCAGTTCTTAACATAGTAAGTGAATGATAGTATTTTCATTATAAATGTTAAAAATTGCACTGGCAGTAAAAAAGATCTCTATTTCACAGATGTCAGAAATGGGTTAATCTGCCAAATACCCAAATTTAGGATTTTGTGAAATTATTTTGTACATGATAAGAATATCGGTGACCTGTATTTGACTTTTGCATAGTTCAGAAGATTCTTGCATGCAAAATTTTCTTTTGTGGTATTTTTGCTTCTGATTCTCCCCTCTTTCTTTTGTTGACTCTGATCTACAAGTTGCTACAGTACACTTAATTTCAGTTTTCAGTTTCTTTTTACCTTATCTATTCACATTCCCCCAAAATACAGATAGCTAGGGTAGTCGTTGTATAAATTACTGTGGAGATGACTATTCTTGAAACATTTGAAAGGAGAAATTTGTTTTTAATCAAGCTGTGCCAGTAAAAAATAAATCGTTCTACAGGAACTGAAATACGGTAAATAACAAGCAAACGTTTGCAAAAAAAACCCCAAACTATTTCACAAGTGGAAAAACTGATAAGCTGAATAAGTTTTCTGTTAAGCTGCTACGTCTGAAATAAAACCAGTTCATAGATTCTTTGTAATTTTACAATTGTTTATTGGTGTGGGTGTTTTGTTTGTGTTTTTTGTTCTTTATAGTTGCCCTGTGGTCACCGGTGTAAAGAGATTTGCCATTCAAGTAGCTGTCCTCTGAACTGCAGCCAGAAGGTTAAACTCCGATGTCTCTGTAAGAGACTGAAAAAGGTAAATTTCTAAGTTACAATTTTGAGAACGATGTATTTTCTTTGTATGTTCCTAGGCTTGTATGGATGGATTGTTTCTGGTGCAGATTAGAATAGGTCCAGTTACTCTAGTAGAGCTATAACAATTCACATCAGCTGAAGATCTGGGCTGCAATATCAAAAGATTCACTGGAGAATATAAAATCCTGTTAGTTCTAAAATATGTTAGCTGCCTGACTTACAATAGCTTTATCTTCAAGCACACTTGAATTTTTGTAGCTCCACTGGAGAATAGTCAGATGATCTAGCGTGATTTGGCAAGAAAAAAAAAAAAACAACTTTTCTGACGATATTGGGAAAGTTTATAATTACATAAGTTGGAACAAGCACAGATGTTGTGAATCCCTAACTAATGTAATTGGTTACGGTTCTCTGCAAACCTAAAAGCAAGTACAGACATCAGCATCCTTAGCTTCTAACAAAGATAAGGGACAAAGTAATGTAACAAGTTTAGTATAGCTATATAGTTTATGAGGGGGAGAACAGAAATTGATGTGAAGTCTTGGCAAATAATAATGACTTAATGAAAAAAAATCATTATCTGGCTTAATTAGAAGATGCTTAAATTATTTTCCTGGACCCAGTTAGTTTCTGAGGCTTCCCAACAGGCTGCAGTTCCCCAGAGTTCTCAGCTTCTCCAAGAAATGTCTTGTGCAACCAAAGTCTTGCAGGTAGGGTGTTCAGCAGGAGAAAGGATGACACGTACAGAACAAGTGCTTCACATTTTTCCTTCAATATTAGGGGGAGAGGAGGAAGCGTGAGTGAGAATTCCGCCCCCCCCCATGACCAGACCTTGCCCTGTAATCTCAGCCAGTTAAGAGAATGTATATGAAATTACTGCCTGAGTGAAAATTCCCCCACACCCCATGACCAGACCTTGCCCTGTAATCTCAGCCAGTTAAGAGAATGTATATGAAATTACTGAGACTCTGAATGCTAGCTCTTTCTGCCAGACTTCAGAAGGTTATCTTACTTTGTCTTAGGCAAACAAGTGAGAAGAGAGGAGAAATTCAACTGGACTATTTGATTTGTTCTTGCTTTCAGCTTAGCTTATCAGAAAGAAGGAAGAGAGAAAAGGACAATTTAATACAGAATTACAGGTCCAAATAATGTTTAATCATTAGCTTTATTTTCTGTGTAACCAATGTTTTACTAAATAAGAATGTTTTATAATTATTTTCATCAAGAAATGGACATTATAACTAAAATTTTATATAGGGAAATGATTATAAAAGACTCAAATTATACTTAACAGGAAATACAGTGCAGCAAGATACAAGGTCAAGTTTCACTGGAATGTGATGCATTATGCAAGGAAATGAAACGGAAAGCATCTGAGGTAATGTATCCGTTGTAGCTATAATTTCTTCTCAGTGCTTCAAGAAAAGTAGGAAAAAATGAACACAGAATTATTTTTCAAGGCAATACCAGCAAAAAATACAACATAAATACAACATAAATAGATGTACTGTTTAATAGCAGCTACTTTTTCAGACTTGCATTTGGCTTAGTGGGGAGAACTGAAGTGTTTGAAGACAGTGTTAATTAACTCAGTGAAATACTACGTTAACATTCTGTTATTTTCCTTTTTTTAAATTTGTTAGAACTGGTTCTTTCCTCTTCCGCTGAGAACAAGTGATGATCAGTGGTGATAAAATTGTCATTGCTGATGATTAGTGCTGTAGGATTAGGGCCAGGCTACTTCACAGGGCATTGTTACACCTGCTCTTTCCTGTGAAAGTTTTGCAGCCGTTGAATGCTCAACTTGTCCAACATGAAGAGTATAATCCTGTCACCCTGTACCAGAAGAATGGAGAGTTTTCAGCAATTGCAGTATACTTTTTAGCCTTCTGTAAATGTGACTTCTCCCTAGTTCCGCTGTTTTACGAAGTAAAGAAATTGCAGCATGCTGTCACCCAGAGAGGCAGAATATCAACCTTGCTCTTATAAGCCTTTTATAAAAACATAAACAAAAAGAATTGGTGCATAACTTGCTTGGTTTTTATCAGGTAAGTGTTAGATGTAATAAATGTACAACCCAAAGACTCAGTGGGTAAAGCTGACTTTTGTCAGCTTCTGCTCAGACTTTCAGGATTGATTGGCAAATTCTAACAAGTACCACACAGACCAAATCCTGCAAGTTTGCAAGCAGGTCAAATGCTAAGACTCTTGGGATATGCCTTTAGAAAATCCCAACCATAACAAACAGTTCCAGTAGGAGTGTGAAGATAAGTTCATAGGACATGGAGTGCACTAAAGCAAGGTGAATTCATAAGAGACTGCATGAGCTTGGACACAGCAGCATGTCTCAGTGTGGTGCAGTGCAGTGTCGGCTGCTGTGTTACTTCAGCAGATACTAGTTCCTATTTCTCACCCCTGACACTGTAAGCCACAGGGAGGAATCATCTAAGGCAATGAGCAAATGACTACGAGTTTCTACTATAAGCAATGCCAGAGACAGACTGCGTGGCATAACCTAGCTACGTGTACCTTCCTCACAGAAGAACATGGATTTATTTGTTTTGGGTTTTTTAATATGAAGTTATAAAGGTCTATTTAAATTCTTACTAGGCACCTTTTTGTAGCCTGTGTTGACTTGTAAATGACATACTAGAATCATCTCCTATTATATACACTGACAAAAGTAGTTTATTATGTCAATGACTGTTCATTGTGTCTAGACTGGGAAAAGTCTTTTAAAAACTGCAGACATGTACAAAGATAATTCAGTTTGCACAGTTGCAAAACAACCATCAATTTCCAAAAACAGTGTGTTAACTCTTAATAAAACTCTTCATATATAGCAGCTAGTGAGTATGCACTTCTGAGGAATTGAATGTGTCTTTTACTGTACATTTTATTAAAGAAATAGTTCTAAAATGTTTTTCCATACTGTGATTATAACGGTTAAGCTTCCCTCTACCTACATCTATTATACCTATGTATCTTATACAAATATGACCACACCAGTGTAAAAAGAAGCTCTTCTGTTGCTTTTTTCCCCACGTTTGTGGGTCACTTTTTCTTTTGGAGCTGAAGTTCTGCCATTAGATGGCAGTGAAATACCAGGAGGCTATTTGTGCAGTTTTTTTCACACCAGACTACGATTTCAGATGTGCGTGGCTGAAAAGGTCTTTTATACACTTTTCTAAAGGGAGTCTCTGCCATTGTGTCTAGATTAATGAAATTCTCAATAATGCTTTTATTTGATGCACGGTTTAGCAATTTAAAAAATTGTCTGAAGACCTGCAAATAGGACTGTTCTATTGACCCTGTCCTCAGTGCACACTGAGCTACATGGGCCGGTATGCTTTCTCCTCAGTGGTGAAGAGCTCTTGAATTGCAAATTGTTTGCAACAAATTCCACTTGCGCAGGTCATATTTAGTAAATTATTGTCACTGTTAGTATGCAAATCATCCAGTTATTAGGATCAAGACTGTTTTTCATTTCAAGTTATTAATCAGATTTTTATATCTAACTTTTCTAAAGGTAGTGATTCAGTGGCCGCAATGCTAAAGGTCCAAGAAATGTATACAAGAAGGCAGACACATACACTTCCCCAGGGTACTCTTCCTCTTACTACTATTACTGTAGTGATCTCTGGCTATGGGGACTTTTAGAGATCGAGCTGGTGTCTTTCTGTTTAATGGTCTTTGCTGGATTTATCTCCTGTTAGCATGCCTAACTGTTTTTCAGTCGACATAAACTTTTGGCATCTATAAACATCCTGTAGCACTGAATTTCTAGATTTAGCCAAATACTACATGGGAGTAGAATGCTTCCCTCTGTTACAAACCAGCCTCATGGTAATTTCATTTTATGCCTTTGCTTTTGTATTATGAAAAATATTCAGCATCTTCACACTCTTCAGGATTTTGTGCCCTGTTAGTCACATGATGAATCCTAGTTATGCATCTCTTTAGATGGAAGCCACTCCATCCTGTTGTCTTTTGTATATGTTCAGGCTTTACGTTCTTTTGTTATTGCAGGACCAAAACTGAATGCAGGAGCCAAGATTCAAGTGCATCATGTGTTTACATATTGATGTTTCTTCTGTACCATTCTTAATAATTTCTAGGATTTAATTTGCTTTCTTGAACATTACAAAACACTTCTATAAAATTATCAGTTGTAACTCCCATGACTTCTTTCCATATGACTTTCTGATAGTGGAGCATTTTTAATTACATTTGGTTTGCATTACACCAAGAGCTTTAAAGCAGTTTGGTTATGCATTATCCAATATATGTCGTATTTGGTACAAATACAGAGGTTTCCTTTTGCTCTAATAGTCAGGGAATAGTTAAAGTACTTGGAATGAAGTATATGTGTGTCAATTATATAGGAATTATCTGTATGTGTAAAGTGTACTCAATTGAGGATAAAGTTGCTGAAAACTTAGAATAACTGTCTTCAGGGATTTTCCTGGTTGTTGGTGAACAAACTATTCTTTTAGGTTTTATGTTTGTTGGTTGAGCTTGTCAAGTTGAAGTCAGACATTCAATTTATTACCTTGTAGCATCCATTATATGTTCTATGTTTTCCAAACGTGAGATGGTGCAGCTTTTTCCAAGAATATTTTGTAATCTGAGTAAGTTAAGAGCTCACTTCATGAAGGTTTTGCTCACTTTTGCTGAGAACCATTTTATAGGAGTAACTATGACTCTATAAGAAAATGGGTTTAGCTGCTGTTTACAATAGTTGCTTATCACTTTGTATGTCTGGACAGATAAAAGAGGCAGAAGCCAAAGCTGCTATTGAAGAAGAGAAACGAAGACAACAGGTATCAACCTTTCTCCCCCCCCCCTTCCTCCCCCACCTTGTTCTTGTTAGTAAATAATTTAATTTACATGCAACTAAAGATGTATAGTTTGTAATGTGATATGCACGGTCATTCCTGTCAGCTGTTACCTTACTCTAAGATGTGTGCTGTGAATGACTTACAATGGTTAAGAGCCCACATGTTTTCCCAAACAATTTTCATAATTTTATGCAAAATGATAACTAATCAGTTTAATCTTGCATTACTATAACTGTGTATAGTATAGTTTATTTTTAAAATACTAAGTACTCTTGATTCTAATCGAACATTTTATAATGCATAAACCCCACAGCATTGCTGAATAGCCTCCATAGAGATTTAAATACTGGGTGAAGCTTCTCTCCTCCCTCCCATCGTGAAAGAATGAGGAAGCCTAAATGAGTCTTTGTCGTTCAAGGTCTCTGAGGGGGGAAAAAATGTGTATTTACTATAATTGCTGTTGTTGGTGAGTGTATGGTGTCAGCATTGTAATCCAAGAAGCTTCTGTGCCAGCTGCCTGGAGTCACTAATACTAATCGTATTTCAGGCCATAACTGTAAGCTTGGTTGGTGGTGATGGCTAGGTCAGGTTTGTCATCTGGAGGCTACAGCCTTAATGCACTCCTTCCAACTAGTTCATGCATGTGTGCCTGTGCCTGAGCATTTGGCACCAAATCATATTCTAAGTCCAATGCGTGCTTTCTGACCCTCCTTTTACTCAGTTATCACAATGGTTATGTATTAGGTTTATACTTGTGTTTTCACCTGCACGTCACACTCCGTTTTTATCGCAGGGCACTGGCTCACTCCCTGCTTGAAAGGGGGCGCAGGAGGCTTACTCGCAGACCGATCCTCTTGTACCATTCTCCCGATCTCATTAGGATAGACAGTTTCTCTGTGGGTCACAAGTTCTGTTATGCATACTTTGATTAATTGCCTAGAGACTTTATTAAAGCGTTATATCTACCAACCACCTTAATGCACTCCTTCCAACTAGTTCATGCATGTGTGCCTGTGCCTGAGCATTTGGCACCAAATCATATTCTAAGTCCAATGCGTGCTTTCTGACCCTCCTTTTACTCAGTTATCACAATGGTTATGTATTAGGTTTATACTTGTGTTTTCACCTGCACGTCACACTCCGTTTTTATCGCAGGGCACTGGCTCACTCCCTGCTTGAAAGGGGGCGCAGGAGGCTTACTCGCAGACCGATCCTCTTGTACCATTCTCCCGATCTCATTAGGATAGACAGTTTCTCTGTGGGTCACAAGTTCTGTTATGCATACTTTGATTAATTGCCTAGAGACTTTATTAAAGCGTTATATCTACCAACCAATGCTCTAGCAAGGCCTGCTTTTGTTTTTTCAAAGGGGAGTGTGTCTACTCATTGTGCAGGAAAAGCATGCAGTTATGTACCTGTTGTCCAGGGGACCAGGCACTGTTTTGTGATCATCTTGTAATGTTTATTGTTACATTCATGCCTCAGTGGTCTACAATATTGATCACATATTCCCTCATACAATTCATAGACAGTTCATCTAATTCTTTTTGTTCTCTAAATTGACCTTGGAAATGTTAGTTCTGGGACATAGGTCAGGAAGCGTAGCTTGCATACAGATGTCTGAAACATTTTGTTAGGCAGAGGTGATCTATAACTGATGGTTCTGCAAGCTGAGTACTGAAGTGTACTAATGGACATTTACACATGTAAAGAACATGTTTACCATTCTAGAGCTAGAAATTCAAAGTTGCTGCTGTTTGTATTGTACCGATTGTTTTTTTTCATGCATTCCAGATGGCATCCCAGTTACTAATGATTTCTGCCTCAAAATCACTTAACTTACAGTCCCTCTAGTAAAGTCTCAGTGATGAGGCTCCTCTGAAACTGTAGCAGATTCACTCCACCAGCATAGTGTGCAACATTATTTTTGTCTTGATTCTTCAGCAATGATTGTTTCTCTCTCCAGTCACACCACCGTTGCTTTCTACTTGTACATTCGCTGAAGTCTCACAGTTACAGTCCAGCAGTACCCTTGTATGCAGAAGCAGTTGCATATATTGCACGTGTTTTGTGATGGATGCAGCTTCAGGGATAGAAGACTTCACCTACACATAATCAAGCCCATTAAAAGGTTAATTAAGAGTGGCCAGTTATAGAGCACAATAGCAAACAGTAGGATGACAGTAAAAAAATGGGACAAATAAAAGAGAAAAATAGGACAACAGTAACTAATAAGTACGCTCTAGAATTGCATACAAGTACTAACCTCAGCTACTGCAGCCTTTTGTCTAAAATTGATTCCCTTCCAATTTGATCTCATAATCTGCCATCTGGCAATGCAAACTGGAGGACATCGCTATCATAGGATGTTGGGTCACATTAAGAGTATATATTTATTGAGTATACTCCCTTCTGACAAAAGTTTGCACCTTGCACCACCTTCCTGATCTCATTACCACACTTTTATATAGACAGTTCATCTGTTACTCACAGCTTCTTGAGACCTGTTTTGATTAATACTTCATTAAATCCTTTATATACAAACTAGTTAGTGCTCTGGTAAGTCTGCACATTTATATTTTGGTATTTGCTATATTTGGTAGCAGCTTCTGCTAATATCATTTACAGATGAAATCACTTGTTTCTTAGTGGAAGGGAGATCACTTGGTTAGGCTTCTTGTCATGGCCCTAGCAGCTGAACTTTCCCTCTGCTTCTAATTCGGAGGCACTGTGTGAGGCCAGGGTTTTCACAATTGCTAGAGGTGGAAAAAAGATCAGTGCTTTGATTATTTAACAGTTCAGACCAAGCGCGCTCTCTGTCCCACTCTAGCGTAAAAGATTTGGTTAAATTTTCAAGCTAACTGGTAATAGTCAAGACTTTCAATACTGAAAGTCGAGGTCTCAAACCTGAATTCTAATTTAATGAGTTCTATGGAAGATTTTGTTTCCTTTTTTTTTTTTTTAGAAAGAAAAATGTTTTAACAGCTCCTTAGAAATTGCAGAAGTCAAACACCGCAATCCCATGTCTGTCTGTCCGTCCTCCCCCCCCCCCCCCGCCCCTAAAAGACAAGACCTGCAACTTCAGGATATGTGCTTTTTGTATGTATAGTCACTGTTGTTTGCTTTCATTTTGCTACAATTTCCCATAGGGCTGCTACTCCTCTATATTCTTCCTGCACTGGAAGAACAACACATGAAGGAGCAAAATCCAGTACCTGAGCAACGCTAAACTAGACATTATCTGGCATCAAATTGTTTTGAGTCTACAGTTTAAATAAATGCATTTCATTTTACTTTTAATATGTCTGTACACAAAGAAGTTAGGTTCTTACTCTAAATAAAAAGCTTGAGCTTGTTTAGCTTGAAAGATTAAGGTAGTTTGAAGACTGGGCACAACCACTACTTTCTTGTTCAGAGATCATTGAGGTGACACTTTGGGAACAATGACAGTTCTATAAAATCCGTAGGTAGCTTTTCAAGGATAGTGATGGCTTCTTTCTCGTATTCTGTGCCCACGAACCTTTTTTCATTCTGTGTTTTGTTTTTTATGATGTATTTATTTTTAGCTGGGTTTTTGTAAAGATCACTAGGAAAGCAATTCAGTACCTGTTATATAATTGTTTGAGCCCTATATTTTAATTCAGATTACTGCAATTCATGAAGCACTGTGCTTTTAAAACTTACAGATCACAAGTATATAGAAGGCCCAAATTTTATTTAGTGTTTGTGTAAAATGAAATGCTGCCATATTATCTATAAAACCTTAAGAACTCTGCACTTGCCTCCAGATTTTGGATTTTGAAAAACTGTTTCATTAAAATAATTTGCTTTTCTAAAGGAGGATTAGCTAGTTGAAAGTAATCTTGTTTCAAATAGCAGGCTGTGGAACTTTGTCTGAACTTTTCTCCCATATCGTCAGAGAAGTGCCAACAGTTTCTGCCTTTATTATGTACAAAGGAATAGACATCAAAATGGGTCCCTTTCTCCTGCTAACAGTGGTATCTGGCACAAGAAGGGAAGTAAGATCTGCTTTGTGAAACTCTGACAAATACTTGCTGTCAGTAGAGGAAGACCAGACATCAGGCAATCTTGAGTTCCAAAGGAAAATTATATTTACTGGACTACTTCTCTGCCCATTTCCCAAAACAGCCTTATTCTTGTTTCTTTAATGCACCTACCTTATTGTCTTAGTCCCTCTCTTCCTGTCAGCACTGCAGTAGTAGTCATGTAGATTTATTTCCTCTCATGCCCAGGGTTTGTCTCTGCTCACTGTCCACATTTCCTCTGCTTCAGCTCAATCTTGTGCCTTTTGCCCAGCCAGTCCCGGCTTGCTGCGCTCTGCTGCTCCCATCTCTCTTCTCTCTTTCAGTTCATCTAGTCTCTCTGCTCCCTAGCTCCTTGTCCCATGCTTTCTCTAGCAGCTGACAACTCTACCCAAAAATCAGATAATCGTCGAACCTTTTCTGGTTTTAGTCTGTCTTGACTCTCCTTTAGAGCATCTTTTCTGATTTTCCTAGCAATTAGATGGCTCCTCATTGGAGTCTCATCCCAGTCTTACACTCTTTGTGCCAGGCTGCCTAATTCCAGTTTTATTTCAGCTTTGTACCCTAAAATGAGTTTTGTCTGTATTCTCTTGATACCCTTTTAAAAGGATGTGGAGGGGGATGAGGAACAGGGATCAGAGGATCCTACTGTTAATTCTAGGCATCACCCTGAAACTGCTATTCTGGGTGGAAGCTTGGCATTCTTCTTTTTTTTTTATCCAGTTGCTTTTGAGTGGAAGCTTGGCATTCTTCTTTTTTTTTTTTTCCAGTTGCTTTTGCTTCATTTTTGGGCCTAAGGGCATGAGCTTTCTTTTGAAGGATGCTGTGCACCTACTACAGTCATATATGAGTGACTAAGTGTTAAGTTGTAACAATTAACATGGAATCTTTTTGGGCATGTCTAAGATTATAGCTAATAATCTAAAATTTAGCTGAGCATGCAAAATATAAAGAATTGGGGGAAGATGAGAGATTTTTATTTATTTATATTTTTATTAATTTATTTTAGCAGAGAGCGCATCCTTACGGCGGGGGGGGAGGTCTTTGAAGATTTCAGCCTATGCTCTTATATACGTTATTTTAATAGCTTAAATACTTATGAGTGCTTTTCTTTAATAGGAAAAATAATATATTTTTTACATATTTCATGGACATAACAATCTCATTTTGGCGTAACATATTCAGCCTGAGTTAAAAATCTAATAAAAATCTAATGTCAGTTGGTTG